CGTGTGGCTCCGTTTTGTCCAGGCCGTGCGTCGAGCCTGAGTGGATTACAGCTTTTCAGGCAGCGTGCCTCATGGCAGTCGTGCGCTCGACTCGCAGGCAGGGGCAGAAGGGATAAGAACAAGCGCGAAACTTGTTGAATCCTGTCTAGCATTCACAGTGCCGTAGCCACCACTTCGTGGCAAGACTACAAGTCAGTACTGGTTGTAGTTGCCGCCACCGCCACAATGCATTTATGAGTGGATTGGAGGTTTGAGTTGCAATGTGGGCCGGTTGCTGACTTATGGTAACATCGCCATAGTTTGTCTTAGATGCTAATTATAGCAGCGGCAGCAAAATCCATTCTACCACTGACACGCCCGTGCTTAGTGCAGCGCATGTCACTGCTATGCACGCAGTCCTTAGAGGCTCCCGTGAAGTACCAAGTGGATGAAAAACACTAAGTCAGTTTAGGCTGGAGCTATGGCAGCTATAGCTAACATTGCTGCGCATAGCTACCTATGAGCTTACAAGAACAGCTCAAACCCGCATCGCAAGTTTACAAAGCCCAATTGGAGGCCTTTGCTTGCAGCAGCAATTTTCCTGCTTACATGGCAGGCGCGATTCCAGCTAAGTTCTTGGTCTCTGTGTATGTATGGGATACTGCACCCACCCAGGCAAACTGTCGCACATACTAGCGCTCTAGTTGTTATACCCCTCCCATGCCCCTGATGAAGCCCCCGTTGCCATCATGTATGAGGGGAGTATCCCGTGCATGCATGACTTTACTGGGTTGCTGTGAAGGAACTTAAATTAAGTTACTAAATTGGGGAAACCCTATTATTTACCATATATACCCATTATGGTAACTTAATTTAAGTTCCTTAACAGCAACCCAGTTTAGGGCTAAGTGGTATTTGGAAGGACCCTGGGAAAGCAACCCCAGAGGGACATGAGTTGTTCTTTAAAGGCTTCCTTGCTATCCCACACCCCCCACTAAAGGATCCAAAACATGGAACCCCCTAATTTTTCGCAAGTTGCCCCAACGTAGTAATGGCTTCATATTGGGGGTGTCCATTTTGTGGATCCTTTAGGGGGTCTGGGATACTGATGATGAAATGGTCTTCTTTGGCTTTGTGAGCTATTCGAGGCATTGCAAGGGTTCCCAGTATTGTCAGCCCGTTCAAGGTGTTGTACTGCGCAAGGGATAGTACTGGATATGAAGATAACAAACCTAGAAAAGGGGATGTGCGTCCTAAAATTTCATGGCGCTTTTCTGAAGCCTGCGATACGAAGGATTACTGGAGACCAGAGATGCGGGGGCCGCTCCTAAATCCCAAATACTATGAGCCGTCTTTTGGGGACCCTTCGCAAAGTCAGGAGGCTCAAAAGGTAGCGT